GGGGGGGGAAGGGGCCGGAACCCCCCAGCCCCTGCCCCTGCCCCGCCCGGCTTTCGCACGTGACCACAGTGCTCCCAGCGTCGACCTCCTAGTCGCTCCCCCGCCCAGCTTCCGTCTGGCGCCAAGCCGGAAATTCAGAAAATACCAAACATTGCACATGTCCAGTATTTTCTGAATTTCTCTACCGGACAGAGGGTGCAAATACCGGACTGTCCGGTAGAAAAGCGGACACCTGGCAACCCTACTGACAAACAGATCAGTGTTTGGAATTTGCATTACACTGCACGTGCAAAACAGATTTTGTATGTTCAGCAGCTGCATGGGCAACAGAATTTTGCATCAGTTTTAGAGAGGAAAAAAAATGAGATTCACCCAGCACAGAATGTCAGGGTAAAGGTAAGCAAACCTGCTGTGCCTCTTCCAAGGATATCTAAAGTGGGGGAAGGAGCAGACACCTGTAATTTCAAACCATTTATTCCATTAAGATGCTTATCTCCAGTCTTCTCCGGCTTTTACTGTTCTAACATAAAACTGGAGAGACTGAGGATGTTTGCTTTGCTTCCTCAGTTTGAGCCTTCTATACTACACACTCCCCAGTTCAAATGGTTTCAAGGAATGCATCCCAATGACCTTAATTTTGCAGCTACCACCATCAAGATGGTAAATGAAGATAAGATTCTGCCAGATACAGCAAGAGAGTCTCTATGTTTGCCAACACATTTTTTCTCAATAGGGGTACCACTGTAAGAAAGTGTTAACTTTTAAAAGGACTCAATGTTAAAAAAGTAAAGAGCCTCCAGGCCCTTTCAGTATCAAAGACAGGGCAGATGTTGAGTCTGGCCCTTACCATTATGACCATAGTTAGTACAAGACACTCTGCCTCTAAGCTTCTGCCATTAGAAACCGCTTTCCTGTAACTTAAATTTCTCTCTTTCAATCCAGAAAATTTTTTCCCTTGTCTGCATGATAGGTCAAATAAATAAATAAAGTGAAAGAAATGACCTGTGTTTTATAGGAAAGAAGAGATACAAGAAGTTGTGTGCAACATACTTTCAGAGGTGTTTCTGCAGACAATAGGTCTATATCTACACTACAAGTTTTTGCAGCAGAGAGTATGCTAATGAGGGACTCATTAGCATGTGTCACAATGTCATTAGCGTATTTTCTGCTGATGCTTTTTGCGCAAGGGGTTTTTTTTTTTTGCAAAAAGAAGCAGTGTAGCCACTTCAGTTTTGAGCAAAAAAATCTTTTGAGCAAGATCCTTGCTAATGACATTGCGACTCATGCTAATGAGTCTGTCATTAGCATACTCTCTGCCACAAAAACTTGTAGTGTAGACAAAGCCTAGGAATGAAAGTACTGCATGCCTAATAAAATCAGTTTTCTCTTGCAAGCACCTTCACTGCTTCCAACGAGTAGTAATGCTAATCTGAATAGCTTGGACCACTGATCCCTTGGTGTAGCAGTTACATGTTTTATTTTAACAATTTTATTTTATTTTGAAGCTTACAGGCAAAATGTCTTGTACCAACTGTGGCCGTATTATTATAAGGGCCAGACTCAATAGCTGCCCTGTTTGATACTGAAAGAGCCTGGAGGCTCTTTAACTCTGAAAATAAAATTTTCATACAGTGGTACCCCTATTTACAATGAGAGATCTGTTGGAAAATATAGTGACTCTCTTACTGCACTTAGAAACATCAGAGGTGAATTTAGTCACTGGTATTTTGATGCTAGCATTATGTTGTCACTGCAGCATGACAAATACTACCCTAACTAGACTGTGGACAAAGATCCATATCAATATTTAAGATTCTTTCAAGTTCCTCCTAAGAATTCCCTTTTCACTCTACACTTGGAAGAAAAAAAAAAGACCTTTCCTCTTAAATGAAGAATATTTGTTAAGGTTACCATGCCTATCAAGATTTAGACTGCCTTGATTTATCAACTCCAAGTCAAGATTTCTGCCTTTAGAAGGAAATTCCTATTTTTTGTAGCATCTTCACAAAGAAAGGAATAAGCTTTCTTTTATACATTTAAAGAGGAAAAATTAAGGTAAGGTCTTTTGGAGTTGTGTCTGTGCATCTTGAATTTCTAGAAAGATCACTAACTTCCTAAACACGGTGTCAAAATTTGGGTAAATACTGGTCAATCTATTCTGGTATTGAGCTTATACTTTTAGCCTGACACTTCTCATCGAAAGGATTAACAAACAATCCCAACAAGAGCTGCTAATTTTCCCCCCCTCTTCAAATTAAAATTCTCTGTTGGAACGTGAAGGAAGATTAATATTTATAAATGTCACATTTTAAGTTTTAGGTGTGCCCATTTTAAAATCCTACATCTGCTACAGAGAAGGAGACAAGGTAGATAAGGCAATATCTTTTACTGAACCAATTTGTGTTGGCAAGAGAAACCCTCATTGAGGAAATCGGGAATTAAATATCAGTTAACTGAACAGTTGAGTAACCTCATGAATTCTTATTGGTTAGTCAACTATTCTATAGTTCTGGGAGGCGGGGTCGGGGGGCAACAGCGTGGGGTGT